TTGCTGATTCATATGACCTGAAACGCCTCTGGGCCTTAAACTTAGTCAACAGAAAGTTTCTCCAAAGCCACCGGACTTTCATTAGCTATCCACATCTATGTAAATATTAACAAATACCTGCCGAAGGTGTTAAAAAATATCAGACTGTATTCCTCAGAGTTCATTTAACAGCAAGAGGATTTTGAGTCACAGAAGAATCAAGTCTCCTATTGTGCTTACATTTTCGTTTGTTTTTAGCTTTAAACGGCAGGCAACATTTCAGCTGTTTGGGTGGCCGAAAATACTGGGCTGGGCTAGATGGAGAGTGTGGAAAGTTTCATCAGGTTTTTTGTTTGTTTGTTTTAATAGTGTTTTATGTTTCTCCTGCATGAAGAAAGCAGTGTGGGTGAGGAGCTGGAGTGGACCAGATGCTCACATTATATTTCTATGATTCTGGGGTTGGAGACACTGCAGAAGGTCATTTGCTAGGCTCAGCTCTCTTAAATTACAGAAAAGTGCATTCGGTGAAATTTGGTGTTTGCAGTAAAAATATACAGGGTTGTCATAGGGCTAGAATTAGTGAATGAATAGGATTAGCGAATGAATGAGCCCAATATTAGAAATGAAATGTTTGGAAAGCCAAAAAACAAAAGAGAGAGAGGGCGAGAGCATAAGAATATGATTCCGGGTCGGAGAGATCACTTTCCTGACGTGAGGGTTATAGCAATAAGTGCAAGGAACAGTTCGGCTCAGCTTGGGATAGGTGTTCAAGGCATGAGGGAGGCTGTGGGCAGAGCAGCAAAAAATTGACCAGCACACAGAAGGAAAGGTGGATGGGAATTTTCGGAGAGGACCAAAAAAGGCAGAATAATACCACAACATGAGTTTTTCATTCTCTTAGGTTTGTGCTACAAATGCTCTATAAGATGTAAAGGGGGTGGGAACATAATCCCCTCTGTTACGTTGTCTTTTATTGCTCTAAGTTCTTCTGTTGGGCAGACTCTTCGTGAGGTATTGTCATGTTACTTATAAAACTGATAGAAATGAATAAATAATCTACTTAACACATTTCCTGAGTGCCTGCTGCGTGCCCGCAGTGTGGTGGGAGTGCCATGTGCCCAGAAGAGTGGTGCGCTCCTCCTCCTGAAGAGCTTATGAATAATGACGTTCTAATACATGCAATGGAAGAGACATGGGTATGAGAAAGGCAAGGTGGGAAAATGAAAATGTGAGTTTCTAAAGAAAATAAGTATTTACAAAGGAATTTTTCGGCATTAATTTTTGTAGGAAAAGTTAGCTGTGTGTAGAAGAAAGAAATGTGTTAGAGATTCTTCTGCTCGTTCGTGTAGTCATTCCATGGGGCTTCCCTGCTCTGCTCCAGGGACTGTACTGGGCATTAAGGGGGCTCAGTGGGCAGGTGCTGGGTCTGCTAGGTGCACAGAGGTGACCATTGGAGCAGAGCAAGCACATCTAACTCAGGGAGTGCAATGAAGTGTTCTTGGGAAGTCTCTCTTCAAGGATCATCAGACTTCAGGAGCTAAAGCCATTAGTTGAATAAGATAATAAAGGCATGGCATGAAAAAGGAATAGTCTATTCTATCTACCTATCTATGTATGGATCTATCAATCATCATTTATCTACTATATTCAAAGGGACAAAGATAAGCGAAAGCATAGAAAACTACAAGTAGTTAGGATTTTATTTGAGTGCTCACTATATACTAGGTCTTTTGCAAAGCCCTTTACATGCAAGCACAGAGGTTAAGAAGGTTGGAATCAAACAGAAGTGGTTCTACTCTTAGCTCCACCACTTACTAATTGAGTGACTTTGAAGAGTTCATTTAATGTCTCTAGATCTGAGTTTTTCTCATCTGTCGAACGAGGATAGTAATAATGCCAACCTCACAGCGTGAAACCAGGTGTTCTATATAAAATCACTTGGCGTGATGCTGGCGTGTGGCAAGTAAATGGCGGCTCATTTTCATTACAACTTTTTATTCATTTACTGCCCTTCCAGAGGAAGCTGCAGTTTAGAAACGTGCCCAGGTCACTGCTCACGAGGGTGGAGCCAGCCCTGCCTGGTCACCTCGCACATTAGGGGGTGGGTGTCAGACATGAGGCTGGAGGGGAAGGTGAGACCAGATCTCAAAGAGCCTTGTGGCTCAAAGAGCTCAAGAGGCTGAATTTTATCACAAAGGCACTGGAGAGCCTCTGTAGGACCTCAAGGTGGAGACTACAAGATCCGATTTGCACTTTGGAAGATTACTTTGGCAGCAGTATAGGATGGTTTGGAGAAGGGAATGACGGCGGCTGGAAGCCCAGTTAGGAGGCTGCTGCAGTAGTCCGGGAGAGAACGGCAGGACTGTGGGCAGGTAGGAGCAATGGGATGGACAAACGGAGCGTTGAGGCAAAGGGGAGGGATGCTGGTAGGAGGAGAGGGAGAGGGAGCAAGCGGGAGGGACGCTGCTGCTCCAGGGTCTCTGGTTTTATCAACTGGGTGAATGGTGGCCCCTGGGCCCAAGATGGGGGGTCCCAGAGGAAGAGGCTCTGAGCACAGTGAGCTTGGGGTGCTTGTGAGATGTTGGGGGAAATGTCCACGTGGCTGTTGGATATACAGCTCTAGAGGTCAGGAGAAAAGTCAGGGCTGCAGGTGTTCAGTTTGGAGTTGAAGACAGGGGTGCGAATGAGATCATTCAGTCAGTCCACACACAGCAGTGAGCACCCAGATCAGGCTCCTCTCCCCACAGGGGCAGGGAGGTGAAAAGACAGCCCATGTCACCACTTTCAGGGCATTACACTCAAGTCTGGGGAGGAGACGTTAAATAGGTAACAAATAAATGAAAAAGACAACTCCAACTATTGCCAAATGCTAGCAATATAATGCAATTGGTAAAGGCTGGATAATCTTTCATGAAGAACTATAGAAACACTCATTTTAAAAAACTTTACAGTTAAGCAAGGTAGTTGTCACCTCATAAGGGAGACTTATTTCACCATAGGAAGAAACCATGGCTTTTTAAGAATAGAAGAGAAAAAAGACAATTACCCAAGACTGAGGAAATCTTTAAGACTAGGTCAGCCTCCAAAAGGGAAGTAATTAGGTGAGAAGCCAGCCTGGTGGTCTAGGGGTTAAGATTCGGTGCTCTCACTGCCTCGGCCCAGGTTCATTTCCCAGTCAAGAAACCACACCACCCGTCTGTCGGTTGTCATACTGTGGTGGCTGCCTGTTGCTGTGATGCTGAAAGCTATGCCACGGGTATTTCAAATACCAGCAGGGCCACCCACGGTGGACAGGTTTCAGGGGAGCTTCCAGACTAAACAGACTACGAAGAAAGACCTGGCCACACACTTCCTAAATAATTGGCCATGAAAACCCTGTGAATAGCAGTGGGGCATTGTCTGATACAACAACAGAAGGAGAGAGGGTGCCGCAAAAAGACTGGGCAGGGTTCAGCTCTGCTGTGCACAGGGGCACTAGGAGTTGGAATCAACTCCACAGCACTAACAACAACAGAATTAGATAAGAGGAAGAAGTAAAAATGAGTAGATACTCAGAGATTGGGGGAAAAGGCAAATTCAGAAATTCTGAGTTTAGTTGGGGAGACAGATACATGGGAATGTGAAGACATTGTGTTGCTTTCTCTGTGTAAACATATACACGTGAGGACATAGTCTACACAGTCCTTTGAGCTGCAGATACTCAGGGGGTGCCTGCGTGGCAGGTGAGGGCCTACAGTGCCAAGCAGGGCTGCAGGACACAGGGGCCCAGGGAGTACCCAGTCTGGCAAGGCCCCCACGAACATGCCATTAGAGTGTAGAACATTCCAGGAAGAAAGAGAGTGGGAGCTATGAGAGAATAGGCCCTAAATAGATTGAGGGGTCACCAGCCAGCACATCCAGGTCTGTTCCAAGATGACCCACAAAGTGAAGCAAAATCTGGTGTGGTATTTAGAAAGTTTGAGACTCATTGGTTTAAGTACGAAGTTGGCAAAACAGCCTTGGGAGCCAGAGCGGGTGGGAGGTGCCTAGAGGAAATCCACTCATTCCAGGAGCCAAGGGAGAAAGGAGTGGAAGGTTTTTCAGGGGAGGTGGCTGGCGTGTCATGTTTTGTCAGTGTTACTCCAGGGGAAGCTGCCAGATGTCAAAGTGGCGGTTGTGCACCCAGAGCAGTGAGGAATGGGTGAGCACAGAGGAGGAGGGAGGCAAGGGTTGCGTGAAGCCAGGCCAGCCCCTCACAGAGCCCTGTGCTCAGAGCAGGTCCAGAGCGCCCAGAAGATCGTGTGATCATTTCGCCATCCTGTTCTTCCTCAGACAGGAAACTGCTGGGAATGGAACACAGGGTGCCCAGAGCTGACAAGAAACCAGTGCCACCCTGTAAATGCAGAGAATGCTATCTCCTGCCTGCCTTTGGGGAGAAGAATCAGAGGACCACAGAGTCCTCTTGGGAAGAAACAGTTGTGGGAACATGAGGGAATAATGACCGAGGAGATGCGGACATGTGAGGAGGAAGAGAGGCCTCTAGTGTCTCTATCAACAATGCCTTTCCTGTCGCCTCTTGCTCAAGTCCTGTTGATTTGAACAGTTCCCCCAGCAGATGGTGGTTGGAACCGTTGGGTTGGTGGATTGAAATATGGGCTTATGAAAGAAAACGGAAGCTGAAAGGGCTGGGCAGAGCCTAGTAAATGCAGACTCTCGATCCTGCCCCAGATCTGGGGATGGCAGGAGGGCGGACATCTAGCCAGCTGTCCAGGTGACTCATGCACATTGATGCTGCCTTCGGTAGGTGGGGTGGGACCTGAGAGCAATTCTTAAACCAGCCTGATGATCTGGGTGTCCCTGGGCCTAACCCCAGGGCCACTGAGTAAAATATGTGGGGGTGAGGAGGACAGAGCACATGCAGGCGGCCCCCTAGAGCCGTGCCAGGTCTCGGAGATGCTGGTCTAACGTAACATTCCTTCAAGTATGCTTTTATTAGAAATTCCAGGGTACCTAATTCTTTTTCTCTCTTCCCTTTCCACTAGGCACTGGGAAATCATGAATTTGATAATGGTGTAGAAGGACTGATTGATCCACTCCTCAAAGAGGCCAAATTTCCAATTCTGAGTGCAAATGTTAAAGCAGAGGGGCCGCTAGCATCCCAAATATCAGGACTTTATTTGCCATATAAAATTCTTCCTGTTGGCACCGAAGTTGTGGGAATTGTTGGATACACTTCAAGAGAAACCCCTTTTCTCTCAAATCCAGGTATTTTCTACTTTTACAGCATTTGTTGTTTGAAAATAGATGCACTAAATCAGAGCTTGGCGTTACTTTTATGGACTATGGGTAAAAGGAGGAACAACATGTGGTATTGGGCAAATGGTGAACTTAGGATGACATTGATAAGCCCGTCTGGTGGCTTCCATGTTGTTCTAAGCTACTTCTTAAAGACATTCGCCCTTTTGCTCAATGAACTTCTTTGTTGACATAAACAGTATCTTTGTTTAAATCAGTGCATTCAAAATTGGACGAGAAGGCGATTGATATCCAGTGCTAAACAGTACAGAGTCATTTACTCAAGAATGAGAGCCATATAACTCACTGCCCTTCTTCCTGTGGAGCCAGGGGGCCCAGAGCGAGGGTTTTTCTTCAACTTACCTTATCTTTCCTTTTCTATTATGATTTTTACATGTCTAGTTAACTTTCCCTTCTCCCTTTTTGTTACTTATCTCTTGTGGTTTTAATGATTTTGTTGTATCTGGCTTTCTGGGAAATATGTACATTCTTGAATGGTCTTATGATATATATCTTGATATGTGTCTGCTATATCTATATATAGATATATATACACATACATCCATATATCATCTTAAGACTATTCAAGAAACATTTTTGAACCACTTTTACAGGAACGCTTTCACTGAAACACTTTGGCAGTGAGAACAAAAATGACATTTTCTCTAAATTATCCAATTAATTAATTTTCTTTCCATATTTGAAGATAAAAGGGAAAGTAGGAGCTAGCATTATCCAGAAACAAGAGTTTTCTTGAATAATTAACTGATAAAAGACATATAATTATTTAACAATTAGAAAAATAATATATTTGTTGTTGTTGTTATTAAAATAGGTCCAGGCCATTGGAAACAACAGAAAGGTCACCTATACTTGACCCTGAGCAGCTGGGCTTGGCTCCTGAGCAGGGAGGGTCCTGCAGCCACGTGGAGGCAGGGGTGTGGGGCTTCGCTGTCTCCACTGGTAGGGGAGGTGGCCGTTGTCAGGCACTCCAGGCGTAGGTAGACATCTGTCCAACGGGTGACCAAGCCTTTGCACACTGTGTGACACTTGGGCAGTAGCTGCTGTTGAGGTCATTTTGGAACAACAGGGCGGGTTATGGACCAGTGGGCTTTTGAATTATTTTGGAGGTGCTCTTCTGAGTAAGAGGGATGTGTTCACACCAGAGGGACCCGAGTGACAGCCTCAGGCTGCTCTGCCCCCCAGCCAGCCTGCCCATGGTCCTCCCTCCCTCCCTCTGCAGACTGCATGCCATTAGAGTGTGCTAAGGGGACACTGCTGTTTTCTGGGCCTCCTGGGGCTTGTCTGCAAAGAGGAGAGGGCGGAGATCACAGGGTGAACCAGGCTGCCTGACTCCCGACACACCAGTTGCTAGCGTGGGTAGGGCTGGGGTGACTGGCCCAGTCGCTGCCTGCCCCCTTGGCGCCGGTCCCCATCGGGTTGGACGTGCCTGCTCTGGGTCCCCTCCCCCTGAGCACGTCCCCCTTATTGCCTTTGTCCCTTCCTGTCAGCTTCCTGCACTGGCCTTAGCAGCCTGAGGACAGAGCCCGGGCTCCTCTCAGTGACCGTCTAGAACCTCAGATAGAGGCCAGCTTGGGATCTTTGGATAAAGATGCAGACTTGTTGAATAATTGAATAATTATGTGTCTCCATAATTTATATTCCATCCACTGGTTTTTGAGTTCATTTAACATAGAATGTAATTAAATGCCATAATAGAGTCACAAAGTCAGGGATGGGGGAAGGGCTGGGTGAGGTGAGTGAAAGGAGTGATGGCCAGCTTGGGGGTCAGATGGACCTGAGGAAAGTCCTCCCTGGCCCCCTCAAGGGCCGTGTAAAGCATCCTGGGGCAAAGGGCGTTCCAGAAGAGAGGTCGGACACAAGCTCCCTGAGTGCAGGGACCTTGTCTGTCTCAGCCACTGCTCTGTGTTCCGCACAGTGCCCGGCAAACGGGAAGTTCTCAGTACATGTTGCTGGAATGAATATGTGAGAGCAGGGAAGTGTGGGGGTCACAGTCACAAAACAGCAGATAATTCAGTTTCCTAGAACACGAGTTCTAAGTAGGGGAAGCTAGAAAGTAGGGTGAGGACTGGACTGTAGGGCCTCGTGAATGCCTGCCTGAGGAGTTCAGGCATGATTTGGAGAAAAGTGTTGTCCCTTCTTTAATAGTCACCAGTAAGAAAGGGGGTGTTGGTGTTGGTGGAGAGCCACAGGGCTCCAGAAGTCAGACCGCCCTTGCTGGGCCTCTGACAGCACCCCGTATTAGTCCTTTACCAGGTTGTAACAGAAAAGGCATCTGAAGGGATGATGCTCTTCCCAGCGGCTCCAGGAGAGAAAGGCTGGATTGTGTAGGGACTGGTGCAGGAGCTGGGGGCATGGAGCGGTGTTTCTGGCGACACTTGCTTCTTCCAAGACCACAGGACAGCAGCTGGCATGGGCTCTTCCTACAGATCTCTGGCCCCTAATCCAGCCCCATTCCTCTAGTCCTGGTGGCCTGGGCGCCCACAGGAATAATTTGTATTTCTAGCACATTTAATTTATTTTAGCTAGATAATGAAATTCCTATAACTCCCCACAAGATACCATGAAATACTCCCCAGGCTTTCTATATGTGTGACAACTGATCCCGAGAGCTTCCTGATGTCTTAGGAGAATACATTCCTTTGTCCTCAGAGGCGTTTCTCTGAACTTTTTGTTCTTCTTGCCAGCCAAACTAAAGCAGGAGATGGTAGCATTCTTTCAAGGTCTCCACATTCCTTCATTCATTCATTCCCCTGAGTACCTTGCTATGTGCCAGGCACTGTTCTAGGCACCAGGGATACTGACCACAACAATCCCTGCCCACTTGAGCCTACGTGTTTAGTGGGAGAATAAATAAATGAGTAAAATGTTTGCTGTGTCAGAAGGTGGTAAGTGCTGGGGAGAAAAATTAAGCAGGATGGGGGAGGGGCAAGTGTGGCATAGGAGAGGGCGCACCTTGTCAATCTAAAGGGAGGCTCAGGGAGAGGCCCACAGAGAAGGTGACAATGCAGTGAGGGGTAACCGGGAGCCCTGCGCCAGTAACCAGGGTGACTGGCAAGAAGCAGACTATCCTTGACCTTCTCATGGCAGACAACGGTGGCAAAGCCGTTTACAACTCCTGATTTTGAAATGCTGCCTGTGACTTACTCACAACACTGCCATCCAGTCCCACACATCTGTGAGCTGCTGATTCTCAGGCCGTCAGTCCGCGGTCTCCCTGGCGCTGCCTGCAGCTATGCTGTTTATCTTCTGTGCTCATTTGCACGCGTTGAGTTGACTAATGTTAAGGACTCCAGAGTTCCCCACTGGAGCACAGAGAGACTCCTAAACATCAGTGTCACAAGGGATGTGTTCGTCTTCTTGCTCTTTGGAGAGGTGAATACTTTTCAGACTGGAGATGGCAGACTCCTGGGTGCTGAAAGTTCTTTATGAGATGTTATTCATGTTTTGAGATTTTCATTTTAGCGATGGTTCTTAGAAATTTAGCATAAAGGAGTCTAGATCATCGGGAGGATGCCCTTGTCACAGATACTGGACATGACTTCAGGGCAGCACCTGTGTTTGCTGTCACCTCTCTGCCAGTAAAAGCCATAGGACCTCAAGGCTTGCTGAGGTTTGGCCACAGAGACAGGGAGAGTCTGGTGTTCTTGCCACACTGAGTAGCACGTGCTTGCGGCACACAGAGCACCAGGCTGTGCAGCCAGCCTGTACCAACGGGTCATCGTCTGATGCCACTGTAAGGGATAAGCAGCCAGTGCAGAATGTGCACACGCCAGTGCCAGCAATATCTGGGTAAGACCCCTCTCTACTGCAGAGCTCAGGGATGCTCCAATGCTGGCCTTATCCAGTGAACAAGACAGAGTTGTCAACTGGCATGTTAAGATTGGCGTTCAAGGACTAGTTGCTGACAGAGTTTTAAGTTTGAACACTGATTATCCTGAACTTGCAAACAAAGCCTTAGAGTTACTAATTTTTTTTGTATTGAGCTATAAGTGACATACAGCACTGTGTACGTTTAAGGTGTACAGCATAATGACTTGACGTACATATAGCGCATCATGCTTATGTGCTCAGGCATTTTCTGCATTGGCATAATGGAGGTAAATATAAAAACAGATAGGCTTTCAGATCTGAAGCCTCCTCGCAGTTTGAGATTGAATTTGAGCAACATAATATCATCCACAACCTTAAACTAATGCAACCTTAAGTGAATGTGACGGAGGAGATTGATGTGAGTTTTTATGGGCTTTGTAGGGATTTTATATTTAATTTATAAATATATTTTGGTCTTAGTACTTTAAGAGCTTTAGTAGATTAAGGTGTTTTTACTTGGCATGTTAGTATGTATAATAATCAATATAATAAAAGTTATTGTTAATAAATGTCTATTTTATTTTTGCTTCTCAGGAAGGAATTTAATATTTGAAGATGAAATCACTGCACTACAGCCTGAAGTAGATAAGCTGAAAACTCTAAACGTGAACAAAATTATTGCACTGGGACACTCTGGCTTTGAAATGGATAAACTCATCGCTCAGAAAGTGAGGGGCGTGGACGTCGTGGTGGGAGGACACTCGAACACGTTTCTCTATACAGGTGACTGTTCAAAAGGATTAGACCAGCCAGGATGTCTAGATAACACTCTCTCCCTCCCACCCTCCCTCCCTCCTCCCTCCTTCCCCCTTCCCTCTACCTCCTCCCCCTTCTCTCCATTCCTCCCTCCCTTCCTCCCTCTCTCTCTCTCTCTTTCCTTGGTGTTAAGTATTTTTAGTTAGAAAACCTTTTTTTTGTATTTTGAACCTATAATGTCCCCAAATTTTTGAGACTGGCTCAGTGAGTCTGTCCCACCATGCCCCCCACCACTACCGTGAGGAGCTTTGAAGTATTTTCAGGAAAAGGAAGAAGAGGAGGGGGCCTGGCTAGTAACTGACTTGATGAGCAGCGGGGAGGAAGGCTTTGGTGGGGAACAGCCCTCCCATTGAAGAGGTTGCTGCTTCGCCCGTCTCTGTATGGGCTATCTAAGGTGATCCTATCTTTATAAAAGCAAAAATAAAAAATACCATACCCCAAACAGTAAGAAATACCCAAAAATGTTAAAAGGGGTTGTCACTAAGAAGAGCACACAGGTAACTTTTACTTTCTTCTTAGCACTTTCGAGTATTTTCAAATAATGAACGCATGTTGCCTTTGCAATCAGAAAAAGCGACACAAATTATAAAAAGAAAAGAAAGAAAAGCAATATTGGGTCAGAAGTCCTCATTCCTGATTCACTTGGAAGACCTTGAGCAGGTCACTCACCCTCTCTGAACCTGTTAGCTTCGCTTCAGGGGGGGATGATACTGCTCCAAGTGTCACATTGTTGTGAAGATTAGGTCAGATGGGTATGTGGAAACATTTTATAACTGCACATATCTGCCTCCACCCCCTCATCCTTAAGAGTAGTGGTTGCACACTTTTTTGACTGTGCTCCATAATAAGAAAGGCATTGTACAGGAGGACCCACACACACTCAAAAACACACACACAAACTGAAAGAAAACTTTCACAAAACACTTGGAACGCACCCTGATATTTTCTGTTCTACTGTTTGATTTTTTTTAAGTGCCAGTTACCACCTGTTACATAATTTCCTCATATTGTAGTTCGCCCATATTTTGAAGAACTCAGCTTTAGCGGAGGCATGACCAGAACAGTGCATGAACAATCCCAGCATCCCACCCCTCCATTCGGGTGCTGCCGCCGTCCCGTGTTCCTCATGGCTCGCCTTGACACCGTTCTGATGGATGCCGTCTTAAGGCACCAGTCGGTCATCCACAGCCTTGGTGCGTGGCCATCAATCAGTGTGCCCTGAGGGGCCTGAAAAGCTTCGGCGACTATGCCTGGCTTCCCACTTGTTCTGCAACCTTTCCATTAATTCTGCAGCCAAACTGTCCTTTCATTCCTGTCACTTTGTTCCTGCAAAACAGTATGTGCCTTTTGCTAAGCACATGAATTTAGTTAATGATGAATGACTAGATGAAAGAAAGATGTAGAGATAAAAATTATAATTTGCTTATCCATAAATCTTGAAGTAGATTATTACAGTCTGAAACAACTGAAATAAAAGTCTTAGTCTTTTATTTCACATTTCATGATTGCTTGCCAAGATTAAACTTGTTCTCATGAAAATATTTAATCCTGATACTCATCATTTTGAGGAATGAGCTTAACAAAGGTAGTTCCGGGACATAATAGGGGATGAGGCTTATTTGCTTGTTTAAATAAATTTTCCCAGCCTTAAAAAAAAAAACAAAAAAACCTCCACTGAATTGTTTGAAGTGAATTAGCATAAAGTTAAGTTAAAGTTAAATATTATTAGTTAATAAAAATATAGTTAAAAATAATGCATCCCTTGGAATTTTAAGTCTTGCTGAGAATCATTTCAGCACACACACACACACACACACACACACACACACGAAAGAAAATGTCACAGAGCATCTGGATTGCACCTGATATTTTCTGTTCTATTATTTAATTTTTTTAAATGCTGGTTACCACCTATTAATTTCATTGTATTGTAGCTGGCCCATATTTTTAAAAACTTGGCTTTAAATGAGGTGTGACAAAAACAGTACAGGAACTGCTCCTCTCCAAATGTTAAACATCATTCCAGGTTCTTTTGACTACCATGCACACACGCAGATAACCTCGTAAGGCCTGACCGTTCTCACGTCGGACTGAAGAGTCTGAGAGGACTTCCCCCTGACCAGGCTTACAGAATGATAAAGCTGCAGAGATGAGAGCTAGTTTTCAAATTACTTCTCTAAAGAAATTAAATCCTAGAGTCTTGAACTGGTCCATGCTGTTACCTTTGGAGAAAAAAGTAGTCAAGTGCGGGCAGGTTGAAAGTGGCAGCAGGTAGGCCAGGGGGCTCTGTCCTCTGTGCGACCCATGTAGGCAGACAGACTCCTAGAATGCTGTCTCTCTGTTGGCCTCCCCCTATTGTAACTGAATTTTGGATTGTGCAAGTCAGTCTGGCTAGCTGTGGCCTTGGGTGAGTGTAAACATCAGTTTCTATATCTGCAGAGTAACGGGGTTAAAAGTGTTAAGTCTCTGCCCCCTTCCATTCTAATATCCTGTTCCCTAGCAAGTCATCCATGCATAGAACACCTTATAACTTCCTTAGGTTACTGCAGTGAGTTTAAATATACTCTAACTTCTTTGAGGCTCATACCTGCTGGCAATCCCACCCTGTCCCCTCCTTATCACTGTCAGCTAATGGCCTCCAAGCCACTCCCCAGCATCACCCAGAACTGAGCGTGCCACTTCCTGTCCTCCTCTCCACTCCAGCTCCTGCTTCCATCCAGCTCCTGAGCGTCCACATGGATGGCTCATCCAATACCCAAAGTTCAGAGTCCTTTGATCTTCTCAATTCATGACTGTCACCTCCACTCCATTTCAGCAACTTCACTTCTGGGGCCACAGGCTGAGACTGTGTCATCATCCAGAATTACTCCATCTCTGAAACCCCAATATCTACCTCCCTCGTCACAGCCTCCTAGCCTTAAAGCCTTCTCCTCCCTTATTCCTTTGAGAGCTGGCCTTCAACCTTATTGAACTCTCAGTCTCGTGAACTCCTCTTTCCCTGCCAGTCCAGCAGGCTTCACTTCTCTCTCCTTGTTAGCCTGGAAGTGTCCATTAGGGACTCTTGACGGAGTCTGTGGCTGACACATGGAAGGCAGGTGCCCAGAATTGTTGAATGAATATTAACAGGTGCAGCTCCTTTAAAATTAAGATTCCTTTATTTGGTCAGTTTTTTTAAATACCTAATTTTCATTGCTTCTGGATTTAGGCAGAAATGACTTTGAAATTCAAATTCTTTCATATATTAGAGAACATAAATGATTTTAATGGCTACAGAATTTCATTCTCAAAACAAATGGAGTTCACGATGTCATTGTAGATAAGACAGACTGGAAAAGGTTATTCTTCACGCTGCAGCCAGTGCCAGGTGCGCAGTGTGAAGGGATGGACCGTCCCTGCTTGACTAGAATGTGGGAGGGAAGGCAAAAGACTGTTGTTGTTTGTGATCATTGTTCATCTCTGCATTAATTTTCACTCTTGTAGTTTAGATAATCTTGCCTTTTAGAACAAGAAAACAGTCTTATTATTTTCCAAATCCACAGGACACGGAAACACTCCAACAAAGAACCTTTCTCCTGGGCATCAGTAAGGAAGCTGATGCCTATGGTTTATTACGTGAGCTGAGAGAATCAGCCAAAGGGCAGAGGTGTGGCCAGTAGCTTGAAAGATGCTATCCTTGGCACAGGGACAGACTTGTTCCAGTGGTCACTCACTGGGGACCTTTCAGTCAACTTTTAGCCATACCCCAGCCTCAGCACCAGCTTCCTTCACGGAGCAAAGCCAGAGCCTTCTGGTTAGCAGTCTTTGCAGCCACATGACACTGATCAGTTTTAGCTACATCTCATGAAACTGCTTTCCAAGATGAAGTGGGAGTATCCAAACTCCAAATCTAAAAAGAACAACCGTAAAATACGGTTAGGGTCACTTGGCAGGTTGAGTTGCTGATGGCCAACCATTGTGAAGTCTTGAACCCACTCCCACCACAAGGCGACATCTCTTCCTGGGGCTACAGTTCATGTTGCCTTAATTATGCTTCTTGATGGTCTTCCGAGAAGGATCTCATCTCTCCCACCCTCACTGGGAAGCAGCGTGGGGTTGTGGAAAGGGCTTTGGACTCTGACAGACCCAGTTGCCTCCTGGGGTTGGTCACTACTGGCTGTCTGACCTGAGACAAGTTACTTAATCTCTCTGGGCTTTAGCTTTTTATTTTTAAAAATGGTTACAGTAATATGACTACCTCAGAGAGTGTCATAGGGATTTAAAAAATGAGGTAATATATGAACAGAGAACTAGGCCTTAGAGAAAGTAGGTCCAAAACAAATATGTCAGTTCTCTAATATTCTCCAACATGGCAAAACACATATAATATTAAATGAAAAAGGGAAGGATACAAAAAAAATTTTTTACAACTGTATAAAAATTTATTATCCACACTGTAATCACCTGAGAATCACAAATCCTCAAGCTAATTTATGGGTCCCTCCTCCCTTTAAAAAATTAAAAGGTTCTTTATCCCACAAAATTCAGGGAACACTGAGGCTCTTCTCAAGCCCTCCTCCCAAAATCGGATAATTCCTTGGAGAATCTATATTTGTCCTGGTCCCCTTGATCCTAATTTTTACTTTTGTTGAATTCTCAGGCACCTCTGGTCTTGCCTCTTTCAAACCATTCTTTTCTATCCATGCAACAAAGACCCAGATATGGAAAACTGACCTTCCTTCTTCATCTCCCCAAACTCCATCCATACAAGGCAGTTTCCCTCCAAGTTTGCCACAGAGTCACCCCAGGGGAGCTTGCCACTGCCCAGCACAGCCTGGACCCTGGAGTGAACCCCTGTCGTCAAAGGCCTCCACCACGGCCACCCCCGGAGCACAGGGCACGTTTCACTGGTTGACTTTTCCTTCTCAGCCCACCCATCCTCCCAGTCTCCGCCCATCTTCCACTTTGAGGTTCTTTTCTTTACTCCTGTC